AGCAGCTTCATCTTAGGATCGCATTACGTTTGAGACAAACTTGTTTTCCTCTTAATCATCTACTCTGTTTTCTTCCTTGCCCTGCGTAGGTCATTACCTCCAGAGTGAAAATACGTGCTGGGTTTGTTTGCCAAGAACACCACCCATATACATTGATGTACGCTGTCTTTGGGCTACGCGGGGCAGCCCGTCTTCTGTGAGCAGAAATGCTGGTGGTTTTCACAGCAGGTGGGAAGCGATCACACGGTACAGGGATAGCCCAGTTCTGCTCTGAGGTGTGGTATCAAGAGCTGAAGTTGTCTCTGGATTAATTCTGGTTTGAGTCTGGCAGAGTCCCACTGGAGCGAGCAACAGGCACGTGGAGGCTCTTGGAAAGAAGGAAGCCCAGTGCCTGTTATAGATGGAATTGTCTGTGTCGCCTGCTCCTAGCCCCAAAGACATGTTGAAGTCCCAACCCCTGGTACCGACGAACGTGGCTGTTTGGAACTAGCCCTGGAAGGTGTTTTCCATTTAACATCAGGCCATATTGGAGTAGGGTGGGTTCTAATCCTAAATGACTGGGGTCCTTAGAAAAAGGAAGAGACCCAAACGATAGACAGCTCCGGAGGGAAGACACTAGGTGGCAACAAAGCTATGCCGAGAGTCAAGGGTCTGCTCCAACTTCTCCCTGGGAAGATGACCCTGCTGATACCTGGCCTGAATACTGCTGCTCTGAGAGCCTCTGCTTTGGGGTACTCTATCATGGCTGCCCCAGGGAAGCCAAGCCCAGCCCAGCCCGTGCATGTGAGTTCACGGCCTGCCGATTAAACAAGTCCCTGAACTTAATTTTAAGCAGCACTGGTAAGAATCGATCCACTTTTCGCACTGGTCGTATCTATCCATTGGATGAAAAAATGAAATAGCCTCGGCATTTGTGGGAGTTTTGTGAGATTTTATTTTAAAAACAAATCCTACCGTGCTAACTTACAGTTTATAGACTAAAGACCCCGCCTTTTGTCTCTAGCTGTTAAAAAGAGCACATGGGAATGGGAGAACAGTTAAAATATTTGCTTTCCTTTTCTTTGGCGAGACCCTTTCTGGTAATGTGCATGATCGACAGGCACTTTCGATGAGATTCGGTTTGCTGAGTTCTCTAAAGATACCTCTTTCCCTTGTAGCACTGGTTCGGTGGGTTTGGTTTGGTTTTTCATTAGCTCAGTAACTTTCAAACTCGCCTCTTTAGAATGTGTGGATGAAAAGCTCCCGCATCTATCTGCCCACTGGAGCAGCTGGGTCAGGCTGTAGGGGTGTGCCCGGGCAGCTTTCTTTTGGAGACTTTGTGGGTGACTTGGTCAAGAGCACGTACGGAGAATCGCTGGACTGATCTAGTGGCTCCGGAGCAGAAACCGGATGCACCCTGCAGGGAGAGCGGGAGGGGAGCCATTACACACCCCCAGATCACTCCCTTCAGACCTCAGCTTGTTGTTCACGGTTTTGCCCATCTTCTTCTGTTCTCGCTTTTCTTAAATGTCACTTTGAAATCTTGTCGTTCCGTGCCGTCGGGTTAGTCCTGATGCCCAGCGATTCTGTGTGCCACAGAACAGAACACCTGGCAGGCCTGGGCCCGCTGTCCTCGCTGCCCTTGCTTTGCTTGAGCCCCTTGTTGCAGCCGCTGGCTCAGTGCCGTCTCGTTGAGGGTTTCCTTCTTGATAGTGTGTCCCAAGTACAGGAGAGGAAGGCTCACCACCCTTGCTTCTGAAGAACGTTGCAGCCGTACCGACTCGTGGGTACCTAACCACGATTTTCAAGTGATGCCTGAGATAAGAGCGCAGAAGGTAGAAAGATGAACAGTGCTGAGGAGTAAAACCTTGAGCAGATCTTCCGTGATGGATTTACACATCCTTCTGGCAGCCCATGGGGTGATTAGTCAGTATTCTCCACCAGTGTCATAATTCAAAAGCATACACATTGCTCGTCTTGTGCTTGGCTTGCCAACGAGGCCATTGAAAATGCCTTGTCTTCAACATCAGTCTTTCTTTTGAACACTTTGGAGAGACCCTTTGCAGCAGACTTGCCCAATAGAACACATTATTTGTTTTTGTTTTCTTTTTACTTCTGCTTTCCTTGGAAATGCTTGTGGAGCCAAGTGTATTGAGATATTTAAAATGGAGAGCTCTCCCTCGTACTCTCATTACCTCACACGAATCTTCATGGCAGAGAGCCTTTGCGGTTACTCAGAAGATGGGGCCTGTAGTTTCGCATATGTTATTGCTGCCTCCTTCCCCTTGGAGGTACTCCTGGTACAGGGAAAATAGCATTACTGGGCCCATGCCTTAGCAGTTTCTTGGCCTAGGCAGTACCTGAAACCTCTTCCCAAATGCGGTAGTGAGATGATACAATGCCAGCTTGCAGATGTCTGAAAGTGTCGGCGCATCTCCCACTCCCCCATCACCCTCATGCTTCCTGGGACTCAACCCGACACTGAGAGCTGCTGGAGCTGCTGTGTGGACACCGACAGAGGTGGGAGCTCTAACCCACCGGCCGTCACCTCCCCGCCACATGCATGATGGCATGTGGCCGTGTGACTCTGAAGAGAGAATTACAGACTGGAGTTGGACTGACGGGGGATGCCTTCTTGATAGTAGAATTACTTCTTGAGATAAAGCTCGCTCTTATACAGACATGAGTGTCACTGGATCTGCTTCTGCAGACAAACCTGCCTAACACACCAAGTATACCATCTCCATAGAATAACCCAGTGTTTGCCGGGGGGCCAGCCACCAGTGAATTCTTGCCTGAAAGGGACTGCACTCTAAGCTCCCTGACATGCGCTCAGACTTAGAAGGACGGCGCTCAGCAGAATGTGTGACAAGGAGCGCAAGCCTGGGGCACGTTGCACTGTGCCCTCTGTGCCCCTTTGTCTGAAGACAGACACTTGCCCTCGAACCCTCTCCACTAGGCGGTGGGGCTGGGGAGGGGGCTGTCAGGTAAGCAGCCTGGATGCAGAAGTGACCCCCCGATTCCGACCGCCATTCTATAGAGTGGGAGATTATCAGAAAGACAGGGTGTTGGGGGTGGGAGGATTTTCGGGGAACGTTTTAGCAGAATTCATGAGAACGCGTTTTTGCCTGTTTGTTGTCAGATTTCCCCTTTTGTCCGCCATCCTTGAGCCAGAGCAGTTCAACACCGGGTGGGCGGAGGGGGCGGTACCGACCATGGGTAGGAACCTGGGGGGGGGGGTTGGGGAGGGGGGGGGGGCGGGGAGGCAAAGAAAGGTGCACGTTGCTACTCTGTTGTGTAAGGGCAGAAGCTGTGTCCAGGGGAGGCTCGCTTTTGACAGTGTTTTAAAATCCCCATTTCTCAGCTCTCTAGTGGACGGTGGGTGTGTCAGCGTTCCCTGGTTGCTAAAATGGAATGAAACGGACCAGAAACGTCCACAGAGGTGGCTTCACCATACATCTCCTCACCACCGCTATTCCACAGGAAGCGGTTGAGCCCGCAGAAGCTCCCTGATGAGTGATTGGTGCAGACGGTTCGAGGCTGGTGATCTTAAAGTAGAGGAACCCTGGGGAATGGAGGCCAGCCGTCAGAAGCCACTGGCTGCTCTGTGGGAGAAAGATGTGCAGCCTTCCGAAAATATTTCCGTTTGAGCCTGACAGGACCAGGGTGTCCCGTCCTGTAGTGTCTTTATGGGTGGGAATCTGCTTGATGGCAAAGGATTTGCTTTGGGGTCTTAAAGTTAACGCCTATTTACTGTGGAGTTTTGCAGAGCCCAGCTTTAAAAGTCATTCTCGTGACATTAAAAGCCACCTTTTTTAACTGTTACTTTATGTACAGGATATATATAAAATGAGGGGAAAAGCTATTTTCTACTTTGTTTTGCTTTTACGACAGATTTACTTCACAAATTTAAAAAAAAGTACATCTGAGTCAGAAAGATCTAAGATCTCATGTTTTGAATGGTTTTTCTAAGATAGATCTTTGTGAGTGAGGAGTAAAAAAAAAACAACCCTAATTTGTAATCACATTGACTCTACTATGAGCAAAATAAGACTTAAGTAATTGGCCCAGCACATGTTTTGGCTCCATATAAGTAGGCTTTCTATTTTGGATTAAAGTTCTTCTAATGATAAACTGAAAATTAGTTTCTGTCAATAATAACATGTTGATTTGAATTTGGTGAAAGCTATAGTAGTAATAATACCTTAGGGGGGAAGTCAGGGACAATTACCATGCAATCCTAGAAACCTTCATTAAGTAAAAGTGTCAAAATGCAAACTATGGTATCAGCGTATTCTTTCATCTAGTTCTTTACGCTTCTGAAGGTGGTGTTTCCATCTCTCTGGTCCTTCCCAGAAGCATTGTGCCCGCCTCTGTTTATGCCTTGTCAAAACCACAGTTACGCATCCTCAGGGCACTCAACCCTCTTCCTTGTAAATGTTTGTTGAGCTTGTGGATCAGAAAGGCATCCAAAGGGGCAGGACAGTGCGGGAGAGCCCTGGATACCCTACAAGACAGAGCCACGCACGTTGTCATCATGGGGGGTGGGGGTGGGGGGTGTGAGGAGGGGCCGGGGTTATGCAGCTGTCTTTGTCTTCTTTCTCACCAATGCAATTTCACTTTTTCAGAACTTCTTCCTAACAAGGCCCTGTAGTCGTTGAGAAACCGTTTAAGGTGGCCCCTTGGGGACCCCCCCTCCCTCCCCGACAAAATAAGGCGATCATCTGACCTCTCTGCCTTGAATTTAACTGGCCCAGCAGATCTCCTTAGCAGTCCGCGTTTTGCTTGAGGTTTTTTATTGTGGACACCCTAAATGTATGACTAAGAGAACATGTGCACAGCTGCCCGCTGACGACAGGGACACCTTATTTGGAATAAACTTCAGTATGCCGCTCTCTGGGAAAGGAGCTCAGCAGAGGCTCGGCAGTCAGAACTGGAGCCCTCGTGCAGTGCGATTTCTAACCACTCCGATTCTGCTGTCTGCCCTTGGAAATAATATGCTTCCATTTCGTCTCTTTCAGTTGACCAGATCTATCATTTGGCTTCTCCAGCCTCCCCTCCAAACTACATGTACAATCCTATCAAGACACTAAAGACCAATACAATTGGGACCTTAAATATGTTGGGTAAGTTGTCATTTTCTCAGTCTGTGGACCATGTTTTAGATGACTGACTGAAGGTAACCCAGCGTAGCGTTAGTCTCCTCTCTCCTCCCCCTGCCAGCATCGTCAGGTTGGTGGTGTTATTTCAGCGTGACTTACTTTGCCGTATACAAAGTAGACGTCTCACACATCCCAGTGATCTAGTCTGTCCTAGGCTTAAGGTCTTCATGTGTGAAATTCTCTGAGCGTTGACCGGAGCTTTGGAGAAGCGTGTATCTTCACATACCAGGTCTTAGGTGCACAGCTGTGATGAAAGCGCATGTATGAGGGTTTAAAGGTAGAGGCATGCGTAAGTTTGGCACAAGTTTGAAGCACTGTCGTTATTTCCCTCTCATGAAGGAGACAATCAACAGAGACCCATTTATGAGTACCTCCTGTGGGAGCACGGGAAACCATTGTCTAGACTGGGCGTTGGGCTTCTTGCATGATGACGGAATCACTTGGAAACAGGTAGCACTGAGGGTTGTCCATGACTAGTACTTGTGAAAACGCTGAATTGACACATGTTTATATATGTGCGATTATTTATGTATGAGCTGGATGAGCTGCCACGTGGAAGAACCCACCGCTGTTGAGTTCGTGCCAACACCGAGTGCCCCTGCAGGCAGAGCAGAACTGCTCCTCGCATTCCCACTGCCGTCTGATTGAATCACTCTTTGGCATTAGCCACTTTGGGAAACATTTACAGTGTCAATCTTTATAAGAACTGACAGCCTCCGCTTCCTCCTGAAAGTGGAAGAGAGGAAGTCCTTTTTAAAATTTCAAGTGAAAAATGCCATAATTTTAGGAATATTTAAAGCAGTGATCTACATGGGTTTTGGAGGGACTAATTAATCCTAACTTTTAATTTGAACCCAGCATCGAGACAAGAGGTGGGTATTGAAGTCTCTTAGACGACACATTCGGAAGTATCGCGCTCTGCCTGAAGGAAGGTGGTCACTTCTTCTCGTTGGGAAGGGCATTACTGCACCTGTTCTTGTCTCCTGCTTTGCTTGGTAGACAGGACCGTGCCCCTGCCTCTGCCGACCAGTGTGGCAAAGCTGGGGCTGCTGCTCGTGCCCTTGCCACCAGCAAACTCTTCCCCTCCTTCCCTGCTCCAGTCTCTCTCTCTGCCCTCCCCTACCCCCTGCCCTCAACCCACATGGCACACAGTGCACGACAATCTCATCGAGCACGTGCCACTTGACAAGATAGCATGTATTAATGGAGCGAAAGGCCTGTGCCTAAGGCCCTATGGCAGGGGATACAGGTGAGGGCCCTGCTTGGGAGATTTAGCACCGTCAGGGGAGGTGATGTATTTGGGTGTCATATCAGTCATCGAGAGTCGGAAGTGAAGTTCCCAAAGGGAGGCACCAGGGAAATGTGCGTAGAGCAGACGGAGGACGTGACTCTAGAGCTGGGGCTTTGTACTCCACTTAACACCTGGACTTGCAGGTCTGGGAGGAGTGGCTGCTGGCCTTCCAGGAACAGCAGGGACAAAAGCAGCAGTGCGAGTGGTTTGTCTACAAAAAACCAACCCCAAACCCATGACCTGAATGAGCCTTTGCTTTCTAAACTGAGAGCACCTAGGGCAAGCAAGATGGACTCATTGAATTGTCTGACTCTCTTGGTTTGGCCCCTATCTGCAGTTCCACCACGTCCCCAGTGCAGTGCTGGAGGGCTGCAATCCGAGGAGACCTTTGTCCAGAGTCACAGGACTGACTCCTTTGTGAATCTTACTTCCTTCCTCCCCGCAAAATGTTGCAGACTCCCTCTTGGTTTTGAAATCTTCAACTCGGTTCGTCTTGAACTCCTCACTCCTTGCCATGGAGTCAATGCGGACTCCGAGTGGCCCCGTGCGTTTCCGAGATGCTAACTGTTGGCAGGACTATGAAGTCCAGTCTTTCTCCCGGGGAGCTGCTGGTGGTTTCGATCTGCAGATCGCAGCACAGTGTATAACCGCTGCACCACCCGGGCTCCTCTCTCGAACTTCAGCACGTTGCGTATGTAAGTGCATCTAATTTCAGGGGAAACTCAATGCTTTTAGTGGTGGGGTATAAAATGAATGGTCCAGCTAGCCTGGCAGCTCCTTAAAACAATAAAAATGCCACTGCCCTCTGACTTAGTAATGGCCCTCTTGGGTATTTATCCCAGAAAAGTGACAACTTATGTGCACACAAGACAGACCTGCCTTGGAGAAAGCAGATTTGGTCCTTGGCGTTAAGGATGATGAGACTTTGTCTTCCATATTTTGCACCTGTTGTCAGGAGAGCCCAGCCCCTGGGAAAGACCTCATGCTTGGGAAAGTAAGGGGCAGCGGTGGAGAGGAAGGCTCTCACGGAGGTGGATTGGCTCAGTGGCTATATCAGTGAGCTCAAGCAAAGGAACAATTGTGAGGATGGTTCAGGACGGGTTGTGTTTTGTTATGTTGTGCGTAGAGTCACTGGGTAAGAACTGACTTGATGGCTCCTTATAGCAACAACAACATGTGCAGACAAAAACCTGCCACGCATGTTTGTAGCGGCTTCATTCAGAATAGCCCCACTGGGAACCGCCACAGTGCGGTAGAGCCGCGGAGTGACGGAATCCCAGTGAAGAGGAGGCCCGCACTGTTGGTGCTTGAAGCCACTTGGGCGACTCTCAGAGGGAGTTGTGTCAAGTGAGGAAATGCAGGCCCCGAAGTTTGTATACAGTTGCTGTTTGATTCCATTTGTGTATCATACTTGAAAGGAGGGAGGTTGAGGAGGGAGGGAGACTGGCCTGTATCTTGACCGTGTCAGTGTTGGTGAGCTGCCTGTGATACTGCACTAGAGTTTTAATCTATTTTTTGTTTGATTGTAATCTAAAAACAAACTCACTGCTATCCAATTGGTGTCGACTCACAGTGATCCTATAGGACAGGATAGAACTGCCCCAGGGGCAGAGACTAACTCTTTACAGGAGTAAAAGGCTTGGTGGTTTTGAACTGTTGACCTTTTGTGGTTTGCCACCCAACAGGTAACAGCTGCACCACCAGGCTTCCTCAGTGAGAGCCTGGAAGCAACAAGACGGCCTCGGTTTCCAGGTCTCACAGGTGTTCAGCCTCTAGCACTGCATACATAGTCTTGCTGCTTTTCTGTTGGTGGGAAATATTTGCGTTTTCCTCCTCTGGGAGGTTTCCATCCCACACAGGTATAACGCATTTGCCGGCTGAGCATTTTTAACATGTAGAGCTCAGTGCTTCTGAGCTTCTATGTCTTCTAACTGTGTTTGAATCGACAGTGATCTTGCCATAAAAAGTCTAATGAAAAAAAAACAGAAGAAAGGGACCAAGTGGATTCTTCCTTTTGAAGCTACATCATTGTTTCCTCTTAATAATATGGGCTCGAGGTCTATCTCCCAGACTCCTCTAGAGTAAAATTAAAACTGTCTTTGTGCTGGCAGCCTATGGATTTTGCTTTATATTGAATCCTTTGAACATTCTCTGCCTTGAGCAAATTGTGGGGTTTGCACAATTTATCTTCCAAGCCTCACCTTTTTTTTCTTTTTTTTTTTTTTTAAAGCAAACTGTTCTTTCTTCACTCAAGCATCTCTCCGTGGTTCTCTCTCCCGATGTTCCTGGGTACTCTCACGTTCATGTTCCCTCATGCTAGGGCCACGAGGGTCACCTGGCCTCCCCAGAGGTGCCCACGAATGGTGTCTGGCATACTCTTTGCTCCCTCCTAGAACACCGGGGCTGTCACCCTGTGTGAGTGCTTGCGACTGAGGAGCTGTGGGACCCTGCCACCCTCCTGTGATGCTGCTCGTGTACAGAAGGCGTCGGGAGGGAAACCTGAGGTCGTAGGCAAAGGGAAGTGACTTCTCTGTGCCAGACTTCACAGAGTGTGAAGGAGTGGACTTGACACTGTTTAAGGGAGCCTTTGGACTGATCTCTGTCTGCATCTCACTACTAGATTGGAAGGATAGATCGTGATGGAATTGAGTCCATTCTAAGGCCTTTGGGAGGGTCACACAGTTCCGGGGTCGCTGCTAACCAGAAGGTTAGGTGCCTCTGGAGAAAGACCTGGTGTTAAGGGAGCAGTGCCACTCAGCACCTGTCGGGGCGCCATGAAGGGAATCATTTTGGCAAGTTGTTTTTGCCTTCTTTCTTTACTCAAGTGTCAGTGGTAAATGCTGGAAAGGTAATGTCGGGGTAGGGCTTAAGAAAGGCTGACAAGATGCTTTGAAGAAAGTGCTGTTGCTCAAATTGAGCCTTGAAGGAAAGAGTTAAAGGGGATATTGCCCGGAAAGAAGGGCACAAGCACAGAAATTGCCAGGTGTTTGTGTTGCAGGAAGTAGGAAAGAGTCGAAGTCAGGTGAGAAGGACCTTGCTTTCTGCCTGATGAAATGCTGAGCGGAGGCAGGGTTGTGCAGGGACTGAGCTCTGCTAACTGCGCGGTGGGCGCGTCAAGCCCATGAGCCTTTCCGTGAACAAAACCATCCGTCTGCTCCCGTGGAGATTGCCAGTCTCTGAAACAAGCCTCGTGCGGCACTCCCTTCTGCCCGGTTCGATCACTGTGAGTCCGAGGTTACTAATCACCCGTGGCTGCTTTTGTTTGGTGGTGGTGGTGGGAGGGTGGGTTCAATGGGTGCTAATTCGAAACAAATGTGTCTTTGTGAAACTCCTAAGTCCTGCCTCTTTCAAACCTGTGGACGCCACATTTACCATGTATACGCGAGTATAAGCCGAGTGTATTCAGCGCGTTTTTAATGCTGAAAAAGCCCCGCAGTTTTTTGTGGTACAATTAGGTGCCTCGGCTTCCGCTCATTTACATATGGTATGCACAGTTGGCCCTGCTTACAACTGTAATATCCAGTGAATTACCACCCGGGGATTCATATTTGTTGAGAGTTTATTTTGGTTTCAAAGCAGTCGCGATAGGTGTGGGTAATTGAAGATATATGGACAATCAGATTTAATACCAAACAGTTTCATCAGCTACCCATCATGTGCGCATGACCGTGTCTCTCCCGTCATCCACCGCTTCTCACTGTGCGTTTGCTTTCTGCAGGGCTGGCAAAGCGGGTCGGGGCTCGTCTTCTCCTGGCCTCCACCTCGGAGGTGTACGGAGGTGAGTGAGGGGCTCAGCTGCCCCGGGGAGTGGGCCCTCTGTACCCCCTTGCCATTCTGTCTCACGGAAAAGATTATTTCACTTCCAGGAAGGGCAAGCCTGAGCTTCCCGTCCCCTTGAATAGTGGCAACAAAGTTGTATTATTATGACTAGCTATGCAGCACTCCTGAAGCGTATTGTCATTAGCTTGGAAATTCAGGTTTGCCACTTAGGAGTTTACAAAAGGGTTCTTTTTTTAACCATTCTGCACTGAACGTATCCCAGAATTCATGTCTTAAAATGGCTTAGCTGGCCTTGCTTCCTTTTCCGTGGAAACCGTGCATGTCTGACTTGCTGAGGACTTGCAGTTGAAGACACTGCATTCAGAGCCTGAAATAAACTCGCTGTAAACCGATAGCGATTGGGGGAAGCAGCACAAACGAGTTGTGCCGGAAAAATGAACCTATTTCCCCAACCGCTGCTGTTTCACCACCCCTGCCCAGATGCACCTCAGTGGGTGTGAGGAGTGAGCGCCAGAGGGATCCACGGATCTCGTTTCAAACCCCACCCCAGTGTGAGTGCAGGCTTGGTTGATGCCCTGGAAGCCCAGGTGGCAGTGGGGATTTCACCTTATCATGGGGACAGAAAAAAAATAAGTAAATGAGATTCTTTGTTGATGTTGCTCTCAATGTAGATGACATGGAGGGAGCCAAATAGAGAGGGCTGAGCAAAACAGGGATTGACTCCACAACACAGTTAGATCTTTGTAAGTCCTGTATAGCAGAGAGCAGTCTCCACTTCTCTTTTGAAACCTTTGGGAGTTAGGAGGGGGCTGTCTGTCCTGCCTCAGTTCCTTTGGGAATAAGCAGGTGAGTGCACGCCTGCCTTTCCCACTCCCTGTGCGTCCTAGGGGAAGAGTTATTCAACAGAAGACTTACAGGGGTCCCTGCCTACGGCACCGTGTGGATTCCTTACGGTATCTTTGAGTGGCTTCACATAGCACAAGCGGAAGGATTTTGACGTAGTACAAAGGGCTGAGTCTTTTAAAATAGTTCAATTATGAAGCTGTTCAGGTCACATGACCAAAGAGACACAGTGACATCTCTTCCATATGCACCTTTCTCCAGGCACCTGATCTTATCATCTGTCTAGCGTGTTTCTTTGTGGCTGTTGGGTTGGGTGACTTTGAATTAGCTCTGACTCATCAAGCCGAAAGAAACATTGCCTGATCCTGTGCCACCCTCATAGAGACTGCTGCTTGGGTCCATTGTTACAGCCGCTGTGTCAGCCCTTCTCCTCGACGCTCTTCTTTTCCTCCAGCTCCGCTATACCACTGACTTGTCTGGGCCAGGAAATCTACTTGGCCAACTGACTGAAAGAGAGCCATACCTGTGCCCCTTCCAAAGAAAGGTGGCATGCAAATGCTCAAATTATAGAAGAGTGTCATTGAAACCGCATGCAAGCAAACTTTTGCTGAAGAGCATCCAGAAACGGTTACAGCACTACATCGACAGGAAACTGTCAGGGGTTCAGGCCGAATTCAGAAGAGGACTTGGACCAAGGGATATCACTGCTGATGTCAGATGGATCAGAATACCAGAAAGATGATTACTTGTGTTTTATTGACTACACAATGGCCTTTGACCGTGTGGCCCATAATACACTGTGTCTACCCTTGAGAAGAATGGGGATTTTCAGAACATTTCATTGTGCTCATTCGGAACTTGTACATGGATCAAGAGGCAGTCATGTGAATGTCATACAAGGGCCCACTGCATGGTTTACAGTTGAGAAAGGTGTGCGTCAAGGTTGTGTCCTCTTACCATACTTGTTCAACTTATATGCAAATGATCAGAGACGCTAGATTATATGAAGAAGAATGTGGCATCAGGATTGGAGGAAGGCATTATTAGCAACCTGCACTACGCAGATGACACAACCTTGCTTGTTGAAAATCAGGGTGATTTGAAGCACATGCTGATGAGAATCAAGGCTTTCAGCCTTCATTGTGGATAATGACTCAATGTAAACAAGACCCAAATCCTCACAACTGGACCAATAGGAAACATGATAGACGGAGAGAAAGTGGATGTTGTCCAGGAGTTTGCCTTTCTTGGATCCATAATCAATGCTCCTGTGCCACAATGTGCCAGCCTGGCCGATAATCACATGTGGGCCTGGTTGAAAGGCGGAGGGATAAATGGGTGGTGAAGCCTCCCCTTTCTAGTTCTCGGGTCTCTTGTTTTGTGATGGTTGCACCGGGTGCAGCTGCCTTAGCAGTTCCTTGCTTCAGCTTGCAAGATTGACTTCCTACAAGACATCCCCAAGGAGAAGCTACATGGACCTATCCAGATGCAGCCCTGGGTGCTGGAGCAGCCGTGTGGAGACCCCTGCTAGTGCTGAGATGCTTGTTCGTTCACTGACTCAGCTTTCCTCCTGCAGTCCGCATCATTGCCTCTGTTTTGTGAGGTGGAGGACTTTGTGGACTGGTGTTGGGTTAAAGGGTTAATGTTGGACTTGTGGGCTTGGGCAGCATTGGGTTGGGATGTTTTCGTGATGCACATTTTCTTACATAAAACTCTCTTATACACGAGTCGCTGTGGATTTGTTTCTCCAAAGTACCTAGACTAAAGGAGCCCTTTAGAGTATTGAATAGCAAGGAGGTTACTTTGAGGTCTGAGGTGCGTCCAACCCAAGCCATGGTATTCTCCATTGCCTCACATGCTCATGGAAGCTGGACATTGAATGAGGAATTCCAAAGAAGAATCGTTGCATTTGAATTGTGGTGCTGGAGATGAAGATCAAAAGTCCTATGGACTGGCAAAAGGCAAACAAATCTGTGTTGGAAGATGCATGGCCAGAGTGCTCCATGCACAGAAGCAGGGATAGCAAGACCTCATCGTATATGACATTGAACATGTTATCAGGAGAGACAGGTCATGATGGCTGGAGTTTGAAATACTGGTGGCTTCTAGCATTATACCAGTGTGACAAAGGGACAGAGGAGTGGAGAAACAACAGGGATTAAGACTTCTCTGAAAAGATACATGAGTGTGTGTTCCTTCGGGTTGTTCATTCCTTTCAGGGAAATCCATAGCATTCACCCATTGCTTTAGTCTGAATTTGATAAATGAAGTAAAAAGCTTACGTTTTGGACGTGCTTGTTGATATATACAGCTGTGTTTTAGCCTGGCAAAATGCTGGAAAGGGACAACTGATAAGAGGTCATTTTTTATTCTAAATTAATGGTTTTGTCAAGTAATGGCATGATTCTGTAAGGGAACTCTGTCATAAGCTTTAGTACTGTGGGCATTTCAGTTCAGCAGTGACCAGTGAACAGGAAGCGTTTGGTTGTACGAGATTTTTCTCTCATCCTCTGTCTCATCTGTTACCGTCTGCACTCAGGTCTGACTTGCCCAGCCCTTGTCAAAAGTTCCCAGAGTAAGGTCTGCTATCAATCATCTATTACGTCCGCATGAATTCAAGCTCTTTTCTTCTCCCAGAGCAGTTGCCTTGGGCATTTTCTCATCGTTTAGGGTGTTTTGCATCATGACAGCAGATAAAGACCTGTGCTCAACCATACATAGGAAAAGATGCAAAACCACTTGACCTGAGAGATTGTCTGTTGACCCAGGCCCCGCCTCACGTTGCCCCTTCACAAATGAGCCGGTAGTCAAACTTCAGGGACAAGAGCAGGAATGAATGGAGTAGATTTCTTGTGTGTTGTTTTCCTAGATTTCTTGGCAAAGATGTGTATAGTGCACAGCATAGCCATATTCAGAGTGTGTATAAATTCCTAGGATACCAGGGAAATTGGGCATTAATTTATGGCTAAGTTTCCTTAAATAGTCTGTTCCCTGGGAACATTTTAAAATGAGACCTGATTTTACACACTAGGAAAACAGGAATTGGGAACTATAAAGTGTAAGTGTGACGGGAACAAGATTCATCAGCCGTTGGACCATTCTGCGCCTCTGCCCACACTAGGCCGGCCTTCCGGTTTTCCCAGATTTGTTTTGGTGATGGCATGTCTGAAAGTCCTGGTGTTCCACAAAGATTTCATTTTGAAACTCCTAGTTAATTCGAAGTACATGTTTTTGTATTTTTCTTCTGTTCTTTGTAAGTGTAAGATGTAAACCATCTGCCTCTTTATGGAGATTATAGTTAATGACTAGGTGTATAGACTCTAAAAGGAGTCTTGGTGGTGTCATGGGTTTTGCGTTGGGCTACTAACCACAAGGCCAGCAGTTTGAACCTACCAGCCACTCCTCACAAAAAAGATGAGGCAGGCTGTCTACTCCCATGAAGGTTGACAGCCTCGGAAACCCCATTATATAGGGATGCTGTGAGTTGGCTTTGACTCGATGGCAGTAGGTCTGTTTTTATTGATTTTCCAGACAGCTTAAAAGTTAATGCCAATTTATGGGAGCAAGTGGAAGATTTGAAATTGACACACTCGATCTTCCAATTAATCTTTGTTTTCTGTCAAATACACAGCTACTGTTAGTACTTACCACCAGATGTAAAACCACCATGTCTGGCTAGAACGCAGACTTGATTTTAAAGCGTTGAACGAACGCCCCTTTTCCATATATGTCTCACCATTTGTAAATGCTTACCTTGCCCGTTGTCACCTCACAGATCTGCCTTTCATCAGTGCGCATGCAAGAATGAGAAAGCAAAGTCTCATTTTCCCTCTCATCCATAGATCCTGAAGTCCACCCTCAAAGTGAGGACTACTGGGGCCACGTGAATCCAATAGGACCCCGAGCCTGTTACGATGAAGGCAAACGTGTAGCAGAGACCATGTGTTATGCCTATATGAAGCAGGTACTTTGAGGGTTCAGGGGGTGGGCGTGGGGGGCTTGTGGATAAGCTCAGCGCATACACCTGGTTCTGTGTGAATGGGGAGGGTGGATCCTGGGTGTTGATCCCTGAGTAGTTTATGGCTGCGGCCTGTGGCATCATCTTCCCGAGTGTGTCTGTCTGGAATCCTAAAGGAGCCCAGCAATGCTTGGCCATCAGGATGCCAAGTAGTCTTGCTCCAGGCATTTCCATAGGACAGGAAATAATAGGCCACATCAAACCAAGCACAGGACCCCCCACCCCCACCACCTTTCTCTTGAAGAGGGTTGTTGGGACTCTCTCTCTAATTTTTAATGAAATACCAACATTTAAAAGATCCCTATAGTGAAAGTGTTTAAAACCTTTTGCTCTATTTCTTGGCCCGAAACAAGACTCATACTAGGCTGCTTGAGGAGCCTGGCATAGATCAGCTCTTGTTTCAAAGAACTGCTGGTTGAGTTTTGAGTTCAGGAGAGCATCGCCCACAGTTTGATGTGGTGTCCCTGGTGCCGAGAACCAGCGCTGTGCACCTCTGCACTTGCTTACAAAAGCGCACGCGGGAAGGCGCCAGGGACAAGCAGTTGTGTTGCTTGCATACGAAGTTTCAGAAGTAGTAGAATTCGTGACTGCTGCTCTGTTGTTTTTCTAAACATGTCCTTGTGTTTCTGGAGAAACTTCGGTAGGAAGCTAGGTTCTCGTTTTAGTAGTTTCTGCATCTCTCGTTCAAGGGCGCCGTTCCTTTCCACGGTGTGGCAGCGTTCTCTTTATCCCCAGTCTCGTGGTAGGTGCGTTCAGCTAGCGCCCTTCTCCCCGGCCTCCTCGTCTCGGTCTAGTAGAGCTTCTCAACCTGACTCGTGCCGCGGCCCTTTCCACAGTTCCTCATGTGGCGGTGACCCCCAACCACAAATTTGTTTTGGTTGCTACTTCATCACTGTAATTTTGCTACTGTTGTGACTCGGGTGACCCCTGTGAAAGGGTCGTTTGACCTCCAAAGGGGTCTCGACCCCAGGTTAAGAACGCGGGGAGAGGAAGAGTGGCCATTAGGACTGGTGGAGGTGGTTGCAAGGAGGAGGAGGAGGAGGAGGACGGTCGTTAGGGTGATGGCATACATTTCATGAGCCACTTGTCGTTTGGCGATAGGTAATCTCTGAGAGGGGTTTGAGTCCCAAGCTTCAAGCCTGTCTCAGAGGGAAAATCTTGGATACCCTTTTCTTCTATATTCTACCAGTCCACTAAGCCTGCCCTTTCTTAAAATTTGGGTTTTATTCTTTGTTTTTTCGACCCATTCTCCCTGGTGTCCATGTAGGTGAGGTTATCGTTTGAGTGGACTCAGTCCTGCTAGACCTGTTTTTTCTTTGAGTCTGGTTTTTGTTTTTTTCTTTTTCTTACCTCTCTTTTGCTCCTTAACCCTAGAGACTGATAGCTATAGCTTAGATGGCTGTTCACAAGTGTTTGCAACCTCAGGTGTTGGTACTCACCAAACTAGGCTCCACAGAGCATTATCTTAATGAGCTATGTTATGTTAATAGACCAAGTTGTTCCCCGCACCTGCCACGATTGTCCTAAGCCCTTAAACCAGTAACCCAATCCTGCGAGGTGTCTGGTGAAGTCTAGTAAGTGTCCATAACCGGGCCCCCCCTCCCCCCCCCCCCCCCCGCATGCTTTTAAAAATATTTTATAGTACCTATGAATAAATAGGCAACACACACACATGTATAGCTACATTTGCCAACAGGAACACCTGTACACGCATACCTGTATATTCATACGTGCTTACCTGTATAAGCATGCATATCTACTTACATACCCACACTTATTTTTTGGTTGTTATTAAAGCTGTTGCCAAACTGTACATGTGGCTTTGGACAAAAATGCCCCTCATTGTTGTGCGCTTCTTAGTGTCAGCTTTGCCCTTGGTCAAATTGTGCTGACTTGACCTCTGCCCGGAACTGCCTGACCCATCACCAGCACTACCAGTGTCCACCATCTGGAAAGTGAGTCCCCCTCTCCCTTTGGGGACCAGCAAAGAGTGTTTCTTGCCACTTATAAGCCTATTTCTGGTCTTTTTATTGTAGTCGGATCATACTGTAGTTGTCCTTTGTCACTGACTTTGATGTCACACAGTCTGAAGTCCTCTGGATTCAGATTAGATTTTGAGAACACCGAAAAACCAAGCCCATTGCCATCCAGTGGATTCCAACCCACAGTGACATTCCGACTCACAGGGACAGCTGCCCTGTCCTCCTCTTTATGGAGTGGAAAGCCTGGCTCTTTCTCCTGCCCGACATGCTGGTGGTTTTGAACTGCTGACCTTGCAGTTAGCAGCCCAACATGAAACCTCTGTGCCACCAAGGCTTGTTATCATTCTTTATGCCTGTGCAGAGTATTCCGTGTGTGTGTGTGTGTGTGTGTGTGTGTGTGTGTGTGTGTGTCTGTCTGTCTGTCTGCATTTGTCGGTGGTACTTGTTTTCTGGTGCACGTGCCATCCTTGGTGGAGGTACTCTAGAATTATCAGTTGCACCGAGAGCAGTGAGATTCATCACCCAGAAGTGGCGTTGTGATGTTAAGATTAAGGTGTCGGTTTAGTAAAGAATTCATATTTTTATTATATACTGACACCTACCTCCTAAGTGTAAATCCACGTTTTATTGTCTGGACCCCGTCTCAAACTCACGACCATCGAGTTGACTCACGGTGACTCTGTAGGACGAAGTAGAACTACCCTCGTGGGCTTCCGAGCCCGTAACTCTTCACGTGGGAAAGAGGCTCGTTTTCCTCTGGTGGAGCAGCTGGTGGTGGCGAACTGCTGACCCTGCTGTTCGCAGCCCAACGCAGAACCACAACAGTACCATATCCTGCATAAAGCAGTATCTAAAAATTGAACAAATCCACAAATCAATTTAATGTGCATAATCGGTTTATAAAAGTCTTCTCTCTTTTCTGTTTCTCTTTAACAAATGAAACCACATATGGAGAATTTGATAACCTAGGAAAATCTGTTTTACATACAAAAACAAACCAACCCAACATTCCTTACATTTTTTTTAAAAAGCCCTCTTACATGTCCTTCCAATGGATAGGATAAGATTGGCATTAGGATCAAAGAGCAAAGTGTGTTTCATGAATAGCTTGAACCTTTCAGAGATGAACTGACGGCTGCTTCTCATGTATCTGGACACGGTGGTTTAGGGAGGGAGGGCCCTCCGTGGTCTGCACTTGGTGTGCGTGTGAGTTCACGGCCCCTTCTTGAGAAGTGACTCGCCAGGCCCAGGGAGCCCCTAACTGGGCTGGGTCTGCAGAACAGACCACAGTCCATAAAACCACAGCATGGCACAGCAGAAAGGAAAGAATAACTCAGAGGTCATTTCATCCGGTGCTTTTAAAGGTATGCTTGTATTTTATTTTTCAGAATCAACATCGCTTTTGAAATAGTTGATCTATAATTTAGCTTTTGAAAAATTCAGCAATATGCTTAATTTCACCGAGTTGTGTGTGCACTCAATACTGGTTGAAACGGCACATTTTTTTATGTGCTGTATCTAAATAACGGAGCCCTGATGGACTCAATGGTTACCCGTCGGGCTGTTAACCACAAGGTATGCCATTCGAAAACAGCCGCTCCTCAGAGAATGTTCCCACAAAACGCCAGTGGTCTCAGAAACCCAAAGGGCAGTCCACCCTGACAGATTGTAGCTGTGAGTTGGAATCAGCTCAGGGCCAGGGGGTTTGGTTCTGTGTGTGTGTGTGTGTGTGTGTGTGTGTGTGTGAGAGAGAGAGAGAGAGAGAGAGAGAGAGAGAGAGAGAGATATTAAAATACTCAGCATCTGTTTTCATAAGACCCCGGTGGCCCAAGAGGTAGATTAGGAGTTGAGCTGCTAACTTCAAGGCGAGTGGTTCAAACCCACCTGTTGCTGCAGGCGAGAGAACGATGAGCCCGTCTGCTCTCATAACGATTCATAGTCTCGGAATCAACTCTGTGGCAGTGGATATGAGGGCAGAGAGCCAGGTCTTTTCTCTAGCAATGCCACTGGTTTAGTTCGATCTGCTGACCTTTGGATAACAATGGAGTCAGATGGGTATGAGTCTCTACTATATCAGGTGATGCAGGCTGTGGCTCTGCACCAGGCTGTGTCCTGCCTCTGCCACTCCCTCCCCATGGGTCCTCTCTCCCGGCCCCACCAACCCACCCACAAGTTGGTGAGAGTAGTATTTGCTCCCTCCTGGCCTCCGTCCCAGCGGGGGAATGGACTAAACATTCGGCTGCTAACCTCACAGTCAGCAGTTCGAGATCACCAACTGCTCTAAGGGAGAAAGATGAGGTTTACGAAGATTTACAGTCTCAGAAACCCACATGGGCAATTCTGCACTGTCTGCCGGGTTACTGTGCCTTAAAGCCGACTTAGTGCCAGAGGGTTTGGGTTTTGTCCTCTGGCCTAACTGTGAGGGGTAAGCTTAGGCTACTTACTGTGTGACGAACACTCAGGAATGTTGGCCCATTTGTGAGGTAACAAAAATCAAACTGACTGTCTGGGGTCTTTAAGGCTTGAAGGTAAACAAGCGGCCATCCAGCTCAGAAGCAACAAAGTCCACATGGTTGAAGCACACCAACCTGTGTGGTCATGAGGTGCCAAAGGGATCAATTACCAGGCACCAAAGAACAAAAAGTCAAATCATCGTGAATCAGAGGGAGTGCAGATTGGAAACCCAAGACCCATCTGTAGGTAATTAGACATCCCCTTGGAGAAGGGTCGCAGGGAGAAGATCAGCCAGTCAGTGTGTAGTGTAGCAACGATAAAACATACAACTTTCCTCTAGTTTCTAAATGCTCCCCCCTCCCACTATCATGATCCCAATTCTACCTTACAAATCTGGCTAGACCAGAGGATGTACACTGGTACAGATAGGAACTGGAAACACAGGGAATCCAGGACAGATGATCCCTTCAGGACCAGGGGTGTCAGTGGTGATACTGGGAGGGTGGAGGG